AAAAAAAAGACCTTGGCTTCAATTCCCAGTCCTGGACTCCTGGACTCCCCCCCAAAGAAAAGATAGTACTAATGTGACAGGATATTGGAGATGTGATTTACGGAGTGATAACAGGGTAAAAGGCTGGGACAGCACGGCTCATGAGTGTTGACTAACTCCTGAGAGGATTGGTTCTGTCAAATTCATCTCTGAAGGGGCTGGTGAGATGGCTCAGTGGTCTAAAGCACCTACTTAGAACAAGCTTAACACAGGGACCGCGGTTCAATCCCCCAGCAACACATGCCAGCCAGCCCCGCCCCCTGGTGGGCGGAGCTGGCCACACACACACACACACACACAAATAAATTTAAAAAAAAAAAATTCATCTCTGAAACTGCCAGACGCTGACTCCAGATGTCCCTGTGTTAAATCCAAAGCCAACCTTCTAAAATTACCCTTAAAAAAATAAATAAAAAATAAATAAAATCACCCTTATGTTAACATTCCCTAGCTTCTCTTAGTCTTTTGTTTCTTCTTTCTTTTTTTGTACTTTAGGGAAGGGTCTACAGGGTGTTCAGGGTCTCACTACTAGATCAGACTCATAGTGATCCACCTATTTACAGCCTCCCAGGAGCTGGGATTATGCCCAGTCTCAACTGCTGTCTCATCAAGCCCTGGGGGCGGGGCTGGCACAGGGCCGGGGATCGGATTTCCTGCCCTTGAGCCTGCTTGCAGGTGCTTTTCTCTTAGTATTTTCCACTATTAAAGTATAGCTGTGGGGCTGGTGAGATGGCTCAGTGGTCTAAAGCACCTACCTAGAACAAGCTTAGCAAAGCAAAGGGACTGCGGTTCAATCCCCCAGCACCACATGCCAGCCAGCCCCGCCCCCTGGTGGGCTGAGTTGGCCACACACACACACACACACACACACACATAAATAAAAAAAAATAAAATAAAGTATAGCTGTCTATTTTAGTATTCAAAATGTTGGCTAACAGCTGCAGAAATAGCTTAGTGGCCTAAGCGCCTGCTGCGCAAGAACAAGGTCTTGAGTTTGATCCCCGTATATTAAATAAGTAAATAAATAATTGCAAATTAAATAAGTAAATAAATAAAAATGTTGGCTTGGAGCAAAAGCCAACTAAACATAGGTCCCGAGGTGGGGGGGGTAGAGAAAAAAGAAAGTCAAAATCGAAACAATATCTTAGCTTTTACATTTTAAGTCCACATTAACTGGGTGTGGTGGCCTATTCCTGTAGTCCCCACACTTAGGAGGCTGAGACAGGAGGATCTTTGTGAGTTCAAGACCTTCCTAGGCTACAAGGTGAGCTTGAGGCCAGCCTTAGCTGCATAGCGAGACCATCTCAAAAAGACAAAAAAAAAAAATCTACATCAGTGCTAGATATAGCAGTGCATACCTGTGATAGTGCTTGGGAGGCTGAAGCAGGAGGAAGGAAAGATACCAGGTCATTTACCAAGAACCCATTTCTAAATAACATAATAAAATAAAAAGGGCTAGGATTGTAGCTCAGCAGTAGAGCATGTCCTTGGCATGTGTGAGGCTCTGGATCACCTCCTCCCCCAAATCTAAGCCTATCGTGTTTGGTTATGTGACTTGTACAACCTGGTTCCTGAATGTGAGGTACCAGCATGATCGTCTTTGGCTATTTTTCCAGATAATCCCTTCAACTCCAGGCTCTCCAGGTAGTACACAGCCTCATTATCTTAGGCTGGGGTTTCCTAGAAACAGAGGCTGAGCTAGGATAAGCAGCAGCGGTCACTTCAGGAACCTCGTGGCTCTCCGCTCACCCGTGGGCTCTGGCGAGGCCCCTGCTGCACCTTGCCTGGCAGGCTCAGCTAATAGTTTCCCAGAAAGAGACTGGGTCTTTCCTCCCAAGGGGCCGAGGGCTCCTGATGCAAACTGCTCTACCCAGGACAAGCTCTAAGTCCCTGGGACCCCAGGCTGGGGCTTGATGCAGTCACAAACTTTCCTTTATGCCAGCGGTCAAAAACTCAAATGTCTCCAGGAGCCAGAAGACAGAGCAGCTACCACCTGGAGAGTCAAGTATTAGCAAACAGAAATTTGGCATTCGCTATTGCCAGATCTTTCCATTTCTTTCAGGAAAAAACAAGAATCCTTAGTTTTATACACAATATTTTAAACTGGTAACCTTATTTTTAAAAGGGGCAAAAAAAAAAAAAAGAAAAGAAAAGAAAAGAAAGGGGCAAAACCAAACTGTATCTGGCCCAGGAGTTGCCAGTTTGTGAATGTGGTTTGACTCCCTAATCCCAGAACAATGGGTGGTCACTTGCCCCATATTTGCATAGCTATCGGGGCCCAGGCAGTGAGTGGGAATAGAACTAAGATCTGCCCTGAACCCATTACAGAGGGTTCACGACCTCAAAACAGAGTCTAACCTTTAGCAACAACAGTGAGGTCTTTGGGTCCCAGCTCTCTCCCCCACTTACTTCTTTCCTCGGCCCCCAACCCTGACTCCCACCACAGGACCTGGTGTTTACTGGCTTTGCCTGAGTCAAGCACCCCTCCTCTTTCAGCTGTCAGTGGACACTACTGCCATCACATTGTTCTGCAAGATACGGCTCAAACATCTCTTTTTGGGCAGCCTTACTCTTCCTCCACTCTGCACTGTCTTCTGCATACTACCCCCTTCCTTTCTGAGAATCACCCAGTACCCTAATCTAGTCTTTAAGTGCCTGTTGTAGCCTCACTGACACAACACCTATAGGGCAGGAACAGGGGTTCCTTCTCCTCAGTACCGCGCGGCGGCAGAGTACCTGAGACCGTAAATGGAGATGGGAGGAAAAGGACCAGTAGAAAAACAATGACCTTGACCATTGCCTTTCACAGGCTAGAAATCCATTTGTGAAAATCTGGCTTTTTTTTTTGAGACAGGCTCTCTCCATGTAATGCATACTAGTGGCCTGGAACTCCCCAAATTCTCAGGCCTGTTTCACAGGTGCTGGGATTACAAGTATGCACCACCACATCCTACTAAAACCCACAGTCTTACGAAGCTAAATTGCAATGTGGAGTTTACATGAAGGGGGGGGCTCTGTATACTTTATTTTTTTTAATTAATTAATTTATTTGTGTGTGTGTGTGTGTGTGGCCAACTCAGCCCACCTGGGGGCGGGGCTGGCTGGCATGTGGTGCTGGGGGATTGAACCGCGGTCCCTGTGCTTTGCTAAGCTTGTTCTAAGTAGGTGCTTTAGACCACTGAGCCATCTCACCAGCCCCTGTATACTTTATTTGGAAAGAATAAAAGTTTAAAACTCAGTTGTGGGTGTAGGGTTAGGGCTTTTCAGGCTTTTAGAATCAGACAGTGGCTGATGTGCCTCGCTCTAGCTTTCCTTAAGCACCTCAAGGTTCCCTGGGGCTCTCTTAAGGCCAGTGGAGTGCTGGGAGTTGCTGTCTCCAGCCGTGCACAAGCAGAAGGGGGTGGCAGTGGGTAGGAACCGCTCCTGTGAACGAAACTGACTTTCCGCGAGGCGGCGGCCTGCGGCAGGCGCGCGGGCGGGCGGCGCGAGGACCTTTGCATAACCCATTCTTAAATCCTCCAAGGCTAGCACAGTTGTAAACTGAAACTCGAGGCAAACCCCGAGCAGTTACATTTTCTCGGAATGTTTCCTTCCAGGCCCTGTCGATCATTTCCTGCGCGCCGTCCCTCCCCAAGGCGCTCACACTCGCAGTGTTGGGGAGACCTCGGCGTGGCCCCCAATCCTCTGTCCTACCTGCAGTGGAGACCTCAGCGCGCGGCGGGGCTGACGCTTCATTCACTGGACAAGAGGAATTTAGGGCAGGAGGGGGCGGGGCAGGGCTGTTCCCCTCGGCCGCCTCAAATCCCGGTCCCCGGGGGAGCGGGAGGAGCTCCAGAGCGTGAGCCGCGGAGCCCGAGCCCCGCGCCGTAACGGTCTCGGAGCGCTGCGCGGTCGCCCCCGGCTATTTACGCCGCGCGTTGTGCAAGCGCGCCCGGCCATTCATGCCCGCGGGGACGCCGCGCCCTACTCCGGGCGGGCGCCGGCAGGGTCACCCTCTGCGTTTGCATCATCCGCTTCACGGCCAGGCGGCTTGGGTTTCCACGGCTGCCAGCGGGTTGGGGGAGGGGAGACAGCCGTGCTGTAAACTCGCTTGGCACACGGCGGCACACGCGCCGCTCTCTGGGCGTCATCGCAGAGGCAGCAGCGCGCCCCGGGCGTGGTGGCCGCGCCGCCCGCGCGCGGGGCCAGCCGGACAGACCGGAAGGAACTGATAAACAGAGCGCTAATGACACCTCTCGCGCCCGCGTCGGAAGTGTCCTTGCGGCGCCAGTCATTGAGAAATACCGAAGGGGCCGCGTGGGGGTGAGGCGAGGACAAGGCAGGCGCAGCTGCGCGCGCGTCGCGGGGCGGGAACGAGGGGCGCCGGGGGATGGGGAGGGCGCTGCCCGCCGTGCTCCCTGCACCTCGGGTGCAGCGCGAGCTGCCCAATCCCCACCTCTCCCTTGTGCCTGGCGGGTGCGGGTGAGGGATCGACTCCACCCATGCCCTGCACCTCACCCCCGAGGAACCCTGCACTCCCAGCCCTACCGGACCCGGACGGGCGAGAGGGCCGCGAGGGACCCCAGAGAGAAAGCGGGCGGCGGGCCAGGCTAAAATGTCTGCAGCTCCAGCGCCCATGCGGCCGGGAGGGGGCGAGGGCCGCGGCCAACTCCAAGTGAAACAGGACCTACGGGTCTACTGAGCATGTTCGGTTTGCCGCCTGCCCGGGAGGGTCGCTCCGGCTCCGCGCCGGGCTTTCCTGGGCGCCGCCGGGAAGGGCCGGGCTGCGGGGGTCCCTCTCACCCTCCCGGCGCTCAATACTGGGAGGCCGGAAGGTGGGGCCCTGAGGGGGCTCGCCTAGGTGTGCGTGAAGTTGTGAGCAGATCGATAAGACTTTTGAAGCTGTACCACCTCCCTCGGCCTCTAAACTCCAGATTAGATCTTGTTCAGAGCTGCCTCACCCCGGTTTGCTGGACAAGGGAAGGAACAGTGATGTGGGTCCTTAACTCCTAAATCAATGTCTCTAAATTAAAGCTCTACATAGCAGATGGCGAATTCCAGAAACGGATGCGGTACACATTGATAACACTAGGATATTCAGAGCAATAAACAAAAGTTATTCACCGAGTATCTTCATTTATTCTAAGGAGATGCAGAATCACACAGCCCACAACCACCAGCTGATGAAGTGAACCATTAATATTTCTTGGGGGGGTGGGAGATGGCTCAGTTGAATAAGCGCATACCTGGCAGATCCAAGGGCCTGAGTTCAATCCCCGGTTCCCGCCAAAAAAAAACCCTATATATAATCTCTCTCTCTCTCTCTCTCTCTCTCTCTCTCTATATATATATATATATATATATTTCTTCTTGTTTTATTTTTTATCTTGGTATCAGGACTCGAACTCAGGACCTCAAGCTTGCCAAGCATGTGCTGCACCACTGAGCTAAATCTCTAGCCCATAACATTTCCATAAAAAGCCCCTTCTGCATAAAGAACAAAACAGAAACATATTCAAAGGCTTTATTTAACCCCCACCCCCCACCAAACTGGGGATTGAACTCAGGCACTTGCACTTACCAGGGAAGTGCTTATTCTACTGAGCCATCTCCCAGCCCCTATTTAAACTTTTAAAGAAATGTGAAGGACAAGAATCTGAGGGAAGTACTTGGTAATCCAGGTGACTGAAGAGAGGAAAATGTTGCCCTGACCTTCTGTCTGCAGCATCGCCCCTGTACACACCATTTCCTCCCGCAGTAGCTCTATGTTGTGGGTGTTATTCTGACACAGTAGAGACTGAAGTGACTAAAAGAATGAAAGGGGGGGCCGGGGAGGTGGCTCAGTGGAATAAGCGCTTCCCTGGCAAGCTCAAGGACCTGAGTTCAATCCCCGGTTCCAACCAAAAAAAAAAAAAAAAGAATGAAAGGTTCTTGGTACATAACAGTAAATAAAAATCAAAGGCCCTGCCCAAGATGCCACAGCTGGCATCTGGCACCAGAAACTCCCAGTGGGAACTTTGTGATTTGGGGAACTTAAAATGTTTTCTATTGTTGCCCTGGCTCTGCCGGTCCTTCTCTGTATTAGCAGACAGCTGGTTGAGTGATGCCGTGGCGCCAGCAGGCTCTCAGAACTTGCCTACCTTTAGAAATTAATAACCAGTACACCTGCCGCCTTGCAGTTTGTGCACTGACCCTGGAGAGTGGAGCCCTGGAGGACCCAAAGGGTGGGTAATTTTGACAAGAATAAAATATCTGTGTTCCTGGAAGTTTGGAATCTCTTTCAACACCCCAAGGGAGAACAACAGCCAAAGGTGGGAACTGCATAGTTATGGGTTTGGGATTTACAGAACCTTCAGGATTTATCTCTACCTAAATGCTTTCTCTTAAGACTTTAATGTTCTCAAAAACTGAGAAAGGCTTAGTTGGGTCTGATGGTGTATGCCTGTCATCCCAGCACCCCGGGGGCTAGGGTGGGCAGTTAATGACTTAGTGAAACCCTATCTTTAAAAAAAAAAAAAGAAAAAAAAACAACCTAGGAATACAAGTTCAGTGCAAGGGCCTTGAGTTCAATCAAGGCACCAGGAAAACAAAACAAAATGGAGAAATACAAAGTTGGCTTTGTTACTCCTGTGAGTTGACAAAAACCTCACTCAAGAGTCTCCGGTCTGCTAGAAGAAAGCCAGAAGGCAGGTGTTCCACTCAGTCTGGGCTCTCCTCACCACGCACACTGGCACTCAGCATCAAAGGGACTGAGCTCTAGCCCTGTCCACAAAGATCTTGATTGTGATATTAAAAAAAAAAAAAAAAAAAAAAAAAAAAAAAAAAAAAAAAAAAAAAAAAACAAACCAGGGTAAACCACCAGTTTCTTCCTGACTCAAGGTGAAACTCTTGTCATCTTTGGAGCACTTACAACTCTCCATATGCATGGCCCTTTTAGGTAGACTATATTTGAAGCAAATGCATAATCTAGTTTGTGTTGTTTCATGGCTCCTATTTAATTAAAATCTTTGTTGGTTGTCTTGTAGTACATTCCAGAAAAGGGAAAAGTCTACTCTGTGGAAAACAGAAAGAGAAAAGACTTTGGCTCTGGCTCCCTGGCAGGACACCATAAGTAGATACCCAATCACTATGTAATTAGTGGGACTAAAAGCAAAATAAAAATGCAGAATTCCTTGCTCAAAAAATAAAGGATTTCAAGACTGCAAGAGCAGAGCACGAAACCAAGGTCAGATCCTAGCAACTGCGCCAGTTCCATGCCCAGGAAGCTGTCCTGCTCCACTTCTCTGGCCCTGCTGCTTTGCAGAGACCTACCCTCAAACCTCCAGCAGGTCCCAGGAAAAATAAGTTAAAGACAATATGTTAAGGGCATCCCCGATTTCCCTGAGCCCACAGAGCTGGCAACCTCTGGCTCAGTATCTATGGCTTTCAAGGGCCTGAGACAAGGTCTACCCTTCATTTACTGAAAAGATTTATTAGATATTTAAGCAGCATTTTTAAGGCTATCTTTTAACGACATCATTTCAAATAAAATGTAAACGTCTCTGGGCTTTGTTGGGTGTGCCTTTCATTTTTCAATGCACAAATAATGATTCTTTAAAAATGCCCGCTCTTTTACCAAGACACAAAAGATCACAACATTCACGCGAAGCTGAAAAGCTTCTGCCATTCAGAACCTTGGCGAAGTCTAACTCCCTCTCCTCCCTCCCTCTTTTTCTGGTTGGGCTGGGGAGGAGAGACCAGCCGCTGCCACCTGCGCCACCCCCACCCTCGTACCTCGGTGGGGGTGCTAGCTCCTCAGAGCACGATCGCCCCTCCTGCTGCTTATCTCCACCTCCTCCCTCTAGCTCCCCACCTCCGCCCCCTCTACGGTTTTTAATCCTAGGGTTTGGAAAGAGGGAGGAGACCAAACGGGAGCCAGATGTGTTCGAGTCCCCTACTCCCGCCTCCTCCCTCCTCTTGGACTTCCTAAAACCCGGAGCTCTGACCGTGTAGGATTCGGAGTCAGACAGCCGCGGCACAAAACAACTCCGATCCGGGACTCATCCGGGACTGGCAGCCGGGAGGGAGGGGGAAAGGAAGCTGGGCATGCTCAGTAGGCGGGACAAAGTTTCCCCCCCCTCTCTTTTATTTATTTTTTTTACGGTCGCAAGTAGGAAGCTTTTTGCACTCCACCACCTCTGGCCGCTGGGAAGACGTCATCGCTTCCGCCCTACTTCCTCCTCCTGTTGGCGGTGGTGAGAATCCAATATGGAGTAAATCGGTGGAGTCTAGAGATGGGGCTCGGACGGGGCACCCTGCACTGCCTCCAAGGCGCACCTCCCCCGGCCGCCGACAGCTCCCGGGAACCGTGATTGGCCCGGCCCCCGGGGGCGACCCCGGACCCAGCCCCTGCCGGGTCCTCCTCCTCCTCCTCCTCCTGGCAGCCGCAGCCGCGCCGCTCCGAGGCGCGCTTGTTTTTCTCCAGCTCTCCCCCACCGCGGTCCCGGGTCCCAGAGTCGCCCTCCGAGCCCGGAGCCCCCGCCCACAAGGCCCGCGGCGCACACTCTCTTCCCCGCCGTAGCCCGTGCACCCCTTCCCCAAACCTCGCGCGGCGCTCGGGTTGCCCCGCTTCCCCTTCTGCGGCGGCGCCCCTTTATCTCCAGCACCCCCACCCCCACCAAATCAGGCGATCTTCGGAGATGTGAGGAAGGGGGGCGAGCGCACGGGAAGATGAAGGGAGCGAAGCTGCCCGCCGCGGGACAGGCGTCTAGGTGAACAGGAAAATGACCGAAGAAACACACCCGGACGAGTAAGTTCCCCGCGGGGAGGGACAGCGTGGGGGCCGCAGCGGAGGACGCGGGCGGGGGCTCGGGTGAACTTGGCGTGGGGTGCAGCGACTCGCCGACCTGTCGGGTTGGGGCTCGAGATTTCCCTCCCTGTCGGGATGAGGAGGGGTCAAAGGCAGCCTCGGGCTGGCGGGGCCCCGCACGCTTCGGGCCAGTGGTGGCTACGGGGGCCAAGGGCGCGCGGGTGACCTCGGGGCGGTCCCAGCTACCTCCCCGGGGACACTTGCGTTCTCCTCGGCTGGAGTGGAAGACCTGACACCCCCACTCCAGCTTCTTGGGGGCGACTGTTATTGTTTTTGTATTGTTTTTAATGTAGTGCCTCTGGCACTCCCGCCCCAACGCTGGCCCTGCGGTCCCTTCCCCAGCCCTCTGGGGCCCAGGCTCCGCCATTTCGTTTTCTTGAATCACTCTCATTTGCATACCACATTTTCATTCATAAAAACGCGGCGGAGCGAGGGGAAGACGGGTGCGGGCCGCGCGGGGTCTGCAGAACCCGGGTCCACGCGTGCCAGTGCTCCGGAGCCGGCCGCAGGAGGGGTCCCGCAGCGCCGGGGAGTGCACACGCGTGTGGGTCGGCACGGTAGCCCCGCGGGTCGGAGCAGCTGGGGGCGGACCCGAAGCATGTGCGGCGGGGGCGGGCGGGAGCGTGCGGGGCCGCGGGTTGTCTGCGGGCGAGGGTGCGAGTGTGTGTGTGTGTGTGTGTGTGTGTGTTGGCGCGCTCGCGTGTGCGCGTGCACGCGCATGTGCCCGGCCCGCGGCCCCGAAGGGAACAATGCTCCGGGCCCTTCGCCCGAGGGCCTCCCTGGCAGCCCGTGAGGGACCCGTGCTTGTAGTCGTCCCCTGTCCAGTTTGCAGCTCATTCCTGCCCCGAAGTCGCTAGGTTGGTTTCGGCTTTTGTCGACGGGACCCGGGGCATTTCCCCCTGGAGGGTGCCACGGGGGCGGGGCCGCTGGGCCTGAGCCCCGGGTCTTCTGCCGGAGGTCTGTACTGTCGGTGCACGGCCACTGCCGCCGCCGCTTCTAGTGCCTGTGCCCGCCACCAGCCACTTTTTTTTTGTGAATAAGACCTCTCCTTTATTGTCACATGATATCCCTCCTCCCCTGCACATTCATAAATCCGGAGCGGGGCTGTTTCCATTCAGAGCTGCCATTAGCCAAGGTAGAGCCGCTCGGCAGCCGTAGGGAAGCCGAGAGAGCCCCGCGCGGGTCGGAGCCGGGGAGGGGGGCGCCGAGGGCCTCTGGCTTGAGGCTCCCTGTGTCTTTCTTTGCTCTCTCCTCCGCCCCCCAGGGAACTTCGAGACTCAGTAGTGTAGGGAGGGGAAGTGACTCAGGGGCTGGGCGGCCGGGAGGCGTGAAGGTCTTCTTTTGCAGCAGGTGACTGAATGCAGTGCTCTACTCTTAAGAAAGCTGACTTCTTTTTAAATGTCCCTTTATCCTTCGGCATCTGTTGCCAGGCTGGGTCGGAGGGGGCTGATGTTCAGAAAGGGGAATTACTTCCTGTGGGTCTCCAGGGAGCCTTGATTGTAACCCCAGATCGGCCAGCGTGTGCTGATGTGCAAACCAGGTCACACCCCGCCTATTTCAGACGTTTGTGTTTTCTTTCATATACCTACCTTGAAATGGTAAAGTGAAAAAAGTTCTGCCTTTCGTGCAGAAATACAAAGGAGAAAGAATGTGCGTACTGCTAGGCCTTGCCCTTTTTGAATGTGGCCCGTAAAAAGGTATTTTTCTGGTGCAGCACACATGAGCAGAAGGCGCAGGAAAGGACAGTGGTGTGCTCTGGACTGGAGGTTTCTGAAGAGGTTTGGCCACTCTTCATGTTCCTTTAAAAACGCAGCTCTGGCCTGTCCCTTTTCTCAGCAGCAGGTCATCTTTTCTTCCTACCCCATCTGCTTTCTCAAGCAAAAGGATTTCAGTGGGCTTTCACCACCAGAAATCTGTATCTCCATTCCAGGCTCTAGGAGAAAGATCAGCATCAGCCCCTCTAGCGCTTCAATCACCTGGTTGATATTGGACATTAAATCTAATTTCAGTGAGAGGAATAGAAAACCTGGGGGCCTTGGCCACTGCACAAATGGCCTTCTGGGAGTTACTTTTAACGTGATGACCTTGGTTTAGATATGAAATGGAAGACCCAGGAAAAAAGCAGCGGTATGGGCAATAAACAACCAACCAGCGCAGTCACTGTCCCTTACGTTGCTGAATGTTTATATATAATGACCCAGCTGAAAAATTGTTTTGAAACGTTAGTATCATGAAGGCTTCTCTTTCTGAGTTCCAGAGCTTGCAGAGCTTGCTTTTTGGTTGTTGCTGGGGGTGGGGCACACTGGAAATGTAGAGGCCTGTAAAATTATTACTGGGTGGTGGTAGGCATCTTAGCCTAGGGTTTTGCTAGATTTATTTGCCTTTCTGCTGTGTGAATTTTGATCCTCTTGTTTTCTCTTTTAATAAAGGTTTTCTATTTGAGGTTCCTCAGGTAATTTTTGGAAATAGGCAGAGTGTGTTACTTACAAAAAGAATTAATGACAGCAAACAGCAATCTGGGGACTTAGGAGAGGAAAGATGTATATTTGTACCTTAGCTAAAATAGATTTTTTAAAAACCATGCTAGGAATCAAATCCCAGGGGGCCTCATGTGTATAGGGGTGTGTGTGTGTGTGTGTGTGTGTGTGTGTGTGTGT